TATTATTATGAGTCTTCTAACGTCTACAAAGAAACGTTCTGTTCCACCTCGTGATGTCATGAGGCGATAGTTTTTTAAGTTAAGAGAAAGAGTGAGAGAAAGAGAGGGGGGGGGGGTAAAGAGGTGAAGAGAGAGCAGAGGGAGAGATGAAGAGCGATGGAGAGACAGGGAGAGAGAGGACAAGAGAGGGGGTAGAGAGAGAGAGATGGATGAAGAGAGAGAGAGAGAGAGAAAGAGGGAGAAAGAAAAGAAGAGAGAGGGGAGAGATAAAGAGAGATGGATGGAGAGAAAGAGAGAGAGAGAGGGAGGGAGGGAGGGATGAAGAGAGATGGATGAGAGAACGAGATGGATAAAGAAAGATAGAAAGAGAGAGAGAGCAAGGGAGGGAGAGAGATAGATGGAGGGATAAAGAGAGATGAAAGAGAGAGAAAGGGGGAGAAAGAAAAGGAAAGAGGGGAAGATAAAGAGAGATGGATGGAGAGAGAGAAAGAGAGAGGGAGGGAGGGAGGGAGGGAGGGAAGAATAAAGATAAAGAGAGATGGAGAGAGAGAGAGAGGAGGAGAGGGGAGAAAGAGAGAGAAAGACAGAGAGGGATAAAGAGATGGAGAGAGAGGGGGAGAGGGAGAGAGAAAGAGAGAGGAGGGATAAAGAGATGGATAGAGAGAGATAAAGAGAGATGGATGGAGAGAGAGAAAGAGCAAGAGGGAGAGAAAGATAAAGAGAGATGGAGACAGAGAGGGATAAAGAGATGGAGAGAGAGAGATAGAACAATAAAAAAAGATGGAGAGAGAGAGGGATAAAGAGATGGATAAAGAGAGAGAGGAAGAGAAGGGGGAGAGAAAAAAGAAAAGAGAGGGAGGAAAAGAGAGAGAGAGGAGGGAGAGTGCGAGAGGGGGGTGGAGAGAGAGGGAAGGATAAAGAGAGATGGAGGGAGAGAGATGGAGAGAAGGAGAGGTAAAGAGAGATGCAAAGAGAGGGAGGAATAGAGAAAGAGAGAGAGTTTCAAGTTCTCAGCTCCTTTTCCCTTTAGTTTAGGCGGAATTATTCTCGTGAAGGTGTGTGGAGTTTAAAAACACAGTGGAGCACTTCCTGTATCACCACACGATGACATCACAAGGTGGAACAGAGTGTTTTGTGTTTGATAAAAGAAACCTAAACGTGTAGGGTTTGTGTGTTAAACATGTGTGAATGAAACAAAACATAACTCCAGGTCTGTTTGTGACGAGGAAACGACATCAGAACAGAAATCTGAGAATAAAGTAAAATGGGACCTTGACATGACATGAGACACTTTATTTCTTACATTAAACTGAAATGAAACTCAAAACAGCCAAATTAAATCTTACCATCATAATATTATGAATGCAGAAAGTAAGTGAGGAAGAACTTTGGGCCACTGTGAACGGTTTAAAATGAACTACAGTGATCCCTCGCTATATCGCGCTTCACCTATCGCGGCCTCGCTGCTTCGCGGAATTTTTTACAGTGCTTTATTTTTACAGTGAATCCTGATTGGCTTAGGGGCGTTACTGTTGTCTAGAAGTGAAAAAGGTTTATACATTAGCAACCATGATGAGAATGGCCACTGAACTTCAGCGCGCGGCACAAGAATGGGACCCTTTGATGTGTCGTTCATTGCAGTTCTCAAATATAATTGAAGGTGGGATGTCCGTTTATAAAAATCTTCTTGCTCAGAAAAAGAAAGAGTGCCAACAACTACCCATAACGATGTTCTTCTCTCGGAGAAAGACCCCTGCGCAGCCTTCAGTAGAAAAAGACGCTACAGCGCAACGGAGTCAGGACGAAGAGGCGCAGCTGGAGGGACTGTGAAATACGCGAGTGACAATGTTTCCTACCTTGTATTCATTACTATATAAAAATATTGTTTTACAACACCGTTCTTTAAACTATTATAGTTATTTGTAAGAAAACGTTAATATTTCTATTTCTTTAACACATGTTGGGCCTGAAAAAGAGGTTTTATTTTTTGTTTCATTCTGCAGTTCAGTATTGCATTGTAAAATCACAGTAAAAAATAAAGCTGACTACTTCGCGGATTTCACCTATTGCGGGTTATTTTTGGAACGTATCCCCCGCGATAAACGAGGGTTCACTGTAGTTCTGTTTTCAGGACAATAAAAGGAACAAAAATCAGGTAGAGCACCTTTAAAGCAAACTTAAATGTCCCAGTAGGAAATGGATCCTCTGCGTTTGACCCGTCCCTCAGTGTCTCTGGGTTAAACCGGTCTCCAGATCTGGTTATGATCCTGGAGTTTTGTTGGGAGTGTCTCATGTCACCTCAGACCTGCGTGAAGTCGCCTCCGTCAAACACAAACCTACACAAAAACTGTCAATCCTTTGTGCTACAGAAAGTTTTGTTTGTGCTGCTTTAGTTTTGGAGATATTAACGATTCTTTTATAGGTCAAACTGGGGTCAGCAGCCTCCAGGAAGCTTCAAAATGCTCTAAAACGACACAAAATGGAGTCAAAAAGTTTCATTTGTGCCATTCTGGTTCTTAAGATATAAAGAAAATGTTAAAACGTGCTAAAAAATTGCAAACTATTACATAAATTCTTTCTGTTTTTCCGGCTCCATGTCATTTCAAATTTCAAATAATAACTTTAAATATATGGACGCAAAAAGTAAAACATTAACAGCACTCAACAGCACAAACAAAACAGAAAGAATTTATGGAATAATTTGCAATTTTTTTTTAGCACATTTTAACATTTTCAGAGGGAACGAGGTGACGCCATCGGCCGAAAATAAAACCGGTAATATCTAAGAACCATAATCGCACAAACCAGCACCAACGAAGCACAAACGACTGACTCCATTTTGTTTTAGAGCATTTTGAAACTTCCTATAAAAGAATCATTAATATTTCCAAAACTAAAACAGCACAAATGAAACATTTTGCATCATAAACGATTGACTTAGTTTTTGTGTAGGTTTACGTTTACTTCACGCAGGTTCACCTCAGTCCCAGATTATATTTAAGGTGCACTGTGTAACTTTTCAGGTTTCCGCTACCATGGAGATGCTGTTGCTTTGCCTGTAATGTTCCACAGTACGGTATTAAACTTATAAAAGATGCATTTATACAGTTATGTGTGTTTTAACTGCTCAAAAATATTGAATATTGACCATACTTTGGAATATTGGAGGTAAAGCAATAACATTTCCATGCAGACGAGTAACTGGAGGCCCACTACCAGAAAAGTGACACAGTGCAGCTTTAAACTCAAACACATTTCTCAGTTTTGGGGGTTAGACTTTGGAGCATTTGTTAAGCCCGACTCTGAAACTCTGACTCTGGTTTCACAAACAGGAGAGAGCCTGAATCTCAAACAAAAAAAAGTGTTTAAACGGACAGAACAGCCGCCAACTTAAAATTACATGTTTCATCTGTAACTAAAGTATTTTAATCACTGTGATGTATTGTGTTTTTTAAGCAGCCAAACTGTAATTCGATACTAAAACTAGTATTGAAACTAGATCCTCATTCTTCGCAAGTACCAGAACTAAAAAAGTTTTATTTACAGGACAGAGCAGAACCTTTCCTGAACGTCTTTAGGACGGTCTGGAGCTGGATCAGAACAAATAGAAGATCACAGAGGCTAGAGTGTTTCCACAGATCGAGCAGCTTTGTGTAACGCCCCCTTCCCTGATCAGACGGTGATTCAAATTATATTAGAGGAAGACCTGTATTTTAAGTTTCATGCTGAGAATTACTGACCAAAACTGATGTTAAAGTTTAGTTTTTACCTGAACTTCACCTGACTTTTTTAAAATTTCAAATACTTAACTCAAGGTCTGCTCAACAAATAATAACTTGTTCTTGTATTTAACTTTTTTTGGTAAAACAAAATAAATAGTATAATGTAACAATTATATAATAATACAAATTAAATAAATAAAATATCAACTAGACATAAGAAACTACTAAAAGTACAACAAGGCGACTAAATGAAATAATGAAACAGCATGAGCCTGTTTGGTGCACGTGCATGTCCTACAGAACAACTCATTTTACTTGGCTTTCTGAAAAATAACTCCAGTGCCTGATCATAAGGGACCTCTCCTTGGGTTCTGGCTCATTTAGTGTGCGGGGGAAGCGTCTGCAGACAGAGAGTCAGGTCCGCAGAGCAAATAGTGCAAATGTTTTACATGCTGACATGTATGTGCGGATCAAAATCACATATCAATTTGTGGCCCTTGGTTTTCACTCTGTGATGCAGTGCCACAGATTGGTCTGTGTGTGGGGAAACACTGGACTAGAATAAACTCTTGGACCCATGGACCCGACTTGGACACTGAGGGATTACACAGATATGAGGACACATGGGAATAGAAAAAACAGTTCTACCATTTAATGTTGAAAATCACAGTATATTGTATAAATATACTATATATATAAAGGATGTTTTTATTCTCATCCTGGTTGTTTGAAATTTTAGTATCGTGACCACACTACGTCCAACTATAAGAATTCAATCTAAAAGGCGGAGTTGGTGATAAAAACAACCTACAACTGAGAACGAAGCCTGTGTAAACATTTGAATGACTCCCTGAAATTCCCTCTGGACCTGGGTCAGTTTTACACTCATCAGCTGCAAATATCAGGTTCTGTTGTGAAACCAGAGTCAGACTAAACCGGAGCCAAAGCTTCGAGCGAGGGCCAGGGGGCAACACTGAGCTGCGGTTTAACTGTTACAGCCTGCAGCGGACAACAGGGGGCGACACTGAGCTGCGGTTTAACTGTTACAGCCTGCAGCGGTCAACAGGGGGCGACACAGAGCTGAGGTTTAACTGTTACAGCCTGCAGCGGTCAACGGGGCGACACAGAGCTGAGGTTTAACTGTTACAGCCTGCAGCGGTCAACAGGGGGCGACACAGAGCTGAGGTTTAACTGTTACAGCCTGCAGCTCAACAGCGACACTGAGCAGTTAACGTTATAGCTTGCAGCGGTCAACAGGGGGCGACACTGAGCAGTTACCTGGGATGTAGACTGGTCAGAGGGGAAGAGAGGAAAAGGTTAGTTAAAATAATAATAATAATTCGGTTTAAAACAACAGAAACTGAAAGAGGAGAGAGACAAAAGGAGAACAGAGGAGGCTTCATCAACAGCTCCAGTTCATCTGAGAAATGCAGATTCAATGGATTATCAATGGATTTTTGATGAAATTGTAATAAAAAGTGAAAAAAAATAAAAATCTAAATTAACTGCAGATTTGACAGATGTTCATGGGTTGAAGGATTTTGTGAGGACCTTTCCACATTTTAAACAGTATTTTCTTTTTCTTTTCTTTTTTTTTTATTTGTAATTTATTCAGTGCTTTTTTTTCTCCACATAAGTCATAAGATATATATGTAGTTTTATTTTCACACAAAAAATTAATAATGTAAGGGTACATAAAAAATAATAAAATAAATAAAATAAAATATATAAAATAAAATAAATAATAATAAAATAATAAAATTGTAAGTGAATTCAAAATGTAAGTCACAGTATAAATGCAGTTTTTTTCCACACATAAAATTAATATCAATGTAAGGGGATATAAAAAAAATCTATTTAATTAATTAATAAAAAATCTAATTAATTAAATAAATAGTAATGATAATGATAATGAACCAATAAATTAAATCAAATTAAAAAGATAAATAAATACATAAATAAATAATGAAAACTATTTTAGCGATCAGTTTATGACATTAATCGTTTGGTTAATTGCTTTAATGTTTCATCGCCTGCTTGTTTCTATGGATACGTCATTGCTCTGTCTGGAATGTTCCACGGTGTGACTTTAAACAGCTCTACTTTACATTTATTCACTCACAGGTGGTTTTAAAGCTCAAAAATACTTAGAAAAACAGGCATTTTGACTGTGAGCGGGGTCGCCTCTCCACAGATCTGACCTGTAACTCAGTCTGGTTTGGTCTCCGTGAAGATAGAAAGGTTTAATGCCACACTGTGGAACATTCTAGACAAAGCATTAACGTGTCCGGTCGTTGATGAAGCCTCCGTGTGAAAGATGAGTTTGGATTAGACGTCCCTGCACCGCGATGCACCTGATCAGCCCCAGGTTCTTTGACAGGTCGGGTTTGGGGGGCGGGGTCTCGTACCTGGTCTCTTGGGCAGTTTCTTGGTGGGCGTTTCCTTCCGTTTGGTCTGGACGGCGGGCGAGTACAGGGCCCCGGAGGAGGCGCTGTTCTTCCTGAAATGGTCCTTGAGGCCTTTGATGGAGCGGTCCAGCTGAGACGAGCGGATCTGGTAGTACACGTTCATGAAGTCTGAGGAACACAGAGAAGACCCAGGTTAGACCAGATTTAGACCGGGTTTAGTCATGGTTCAATTAAGTTTTAATCTTGCTTTGTCCTGGTTTAGTCCTGGCTCAGTCAAGCTTTAGTCCTGATTTAATCCTGGTTTAGTTCTGCTTTACTCCCCATTCAGTCCTCCTTTTGTCCTGCTCAAGACCTGCTTCAGTCCTGGTCTAGTTCTGCTTTAGTCCTGGTTCTGTCCTGACTTGGTGCTGATTCTGTCTTCCTTTAGACCTTGTTTAGTCCTGCTTCAGTCCTGCTTAAGTTCTGGTTTAGGCCTGTCTTAAAAACGGTTTAAACCTGGTTTGGACCTGGTTTAGGCCTGGCTTAATGCTGGTTTAGTCTTGGTCCAGTCCTAGTTGATTCCTGGTCCAGTCCTAGTTGATTCCTGGTCCAGTCCTGGTTCAGTCCTGGTTCAGTCCTGCTTCAGTCCTGGTTCAGTCCTGGTTCAGTCCTTGGTTCAGTCCTTGCTTCAGTCCTTGTTCAGTCCTTGTTTCAGTCCTGTTTTAGTCCTGTTTTAGTCCTGTTTTAGTCCTGGTCCGGTTCTGGTTCAGTCCTGGTCCAGTCTTGGTTCAGTCCTGGTCCAGTCCTGGTCCAGTCTTGCTTCAGTCCTGGTCCAGTCCTGGTCCAGTCCTGGTCCAGTCCTGGTCCAGTCTTGGTTCGGTCCTACTTCTGTCCTGGTCCAGTCCTGGTCCAGTCTTGGTTCGGTCCTACTTCTGTCCTGGTCCAGTCCTGGTCCAGTCCTGGCCCAGTCCTGGTCCAGTCCTGGGTCCCTGGTCCAGTCTTGGTTCTCCTACTTCTGTCCTGGCCCAGTCCTGGTCCAGTCCTGGTCCAGTCCTGCACTTCTGTCCTGGCCCAGTCCTGGTCCAGTCCTGGTCCAGTCCTGGTCCGGGTCTCACCCTGGTTCCTGCCGTACTCCGTGAGCCAGCCTGAGATGCAGATGATGTCCTGGAGAACGGCTTCGGGCAGATGTTCCAGGACCACGTCTTCCTGGACGTCGAGCTCGTCGTCGGGTCCGAGCTCGGCCCCCAGAGCGTCCAGGATCAGGATGGGAGGGACCGGTTTACTGTACCGGGTCAGAAGGCTCCGGAACTCTGCCTCCAGGAGCTCCTTCCCCTTCTCAAACAAGGACTTCTGCACAACGGAACGGAGGGAGGAGAGAGAGAGAAGGAGGGAAGAGGAGAGAGAGGAGAGAGAGGAGAGAGAGGAAAGAGGCAGTGGGAGGGAGAAAGAGGGAGGGATAGAGGGAGAGGAGAGTGAGGAAGGGACAGATACAGAGGAGGGAGAAGACAGAAGGAGAGAGAAGGAGAGAGAGGGAAGAGAGATGAAGGAGAGAGGGAGGAGAGAAAGAGAGAGAGAGAGAAAGGAGGGAGGGAGAGGAAGAGGGGGGTAGAAATAGAGAAAGAGAGAGGGGGAAGAGAGGAAAGAGGCAGTGGGAGGGAGAGAGATGGAGAGAGCAAGAAAGCGAGAGGGAGAGACGGAGGCAGATAGAAAGAGAGAGAGGGAGGGAGGGAGAGAGAGAGAAAGGGAGGGGAGATAGAGAGAGAGGAGGGAGAAAGGAGAGAGCGAGGGAGAGAGAGGGGGAAGAGAGACAGATAGGAGGGGAGGAGAGGGAGAGGAGAGAGAGGAGGGAGAGAAGGGGAGAGAGGGAGATGGAAACAGAGAGAAAGAAAGGAAGAGAGGGAGGCAGCTAGAAAGAAAGTGAGGGATGAGAGAGAGGAGAGAGAAGTGAGAGAAAAGAGAGAAGAGAGAGGGAGAGAGAGAGAAGCGAGAGAGGGAGAGAGATAAAGAGAAGCAAGAGAAAGAGAGAGGAGAGAGAGATAAAGAGAAGTGGGAGAAAGAGAGGGAGGGAAAGAGACAGAGAAAGGAGAGAGAGAGAGAGAGAGAGAGAGAGACGGAGAGAGAGGAGCAAGAGAAAGAGAGGGATGGTGACAGAGAAAGAGAGAGAGCAGAGGAGAGAGGTGAGAGAGAGGAAGGAGAGAGAAGGGGAGCAGAGAGAGCAGGAAAGCAATGAGGGAGAGAGAGTGAGAAAGGAGAGAGTGAGGGAGAGAAGGAAGAGAGACAAAGAGAGAGAGAGAGGAGAGAGTTGGGAGAAAGGAGAGAAAGAGAGAGAGAAAGGGAGGAATGAGACGGAGATAGAGAGAAAAAGGGGTGGGGGCAGAGACAGAGGGAAGAGGGAGAGAGAAACAGGGATGGAGACGGAGTTTTCGGGATTAACAGTGTGTTTTTATTTTGTCAAACCTCGTTGATTTCAGATTCATGTTAATCTACACAAAACACTCAAGTTGTGTAACAGTTTATGGTTCAAGATATACAGTATTTACACACACACACACACACACACACACACACACACAACACACACACACACACACACACACACACACACACACACACACACACACACACATACACACACAACACACACACACACAAACACACACACAAACACACACATAAACACACACACACAACACACACACACACACACACACACACACACACACACACACATAAACACACACAACACAGCACACACACAAACACGCACACACAAACACGCACACACAAACACACACACGCACACACAAACACAAATATACACAAATACACACACACGCACACACACACACACACAAATATCCACAAATACACACACACACACACACACATAAACACACACACACATAAACACACACACACACACACACACACACACATAACACACACACACACACACACACACACACACACACACACACACACACACACACACACACACACACACACACACACACACACGCAAATATACACAAATACACACACACAAACACACCAACACGCACACACACACACACACACAAATATACACAAATACACACACACAAACACACAAACACACACACATGAAAACACAAACATGCACACGCGCACACATGCACACACACACACACACACACACAGACACATAAACACTAGAGCAGAGAGTCGGACTTAAACACAAAGACCTTAAGTCGACTTCAGTTCCAGTGTAAACAGATCTAAAGACGTACCACCGTGTTGAGCTCGGGGCTGTCGGGGTTGTTGTCCTGAAAATACTCCACGGCTTTTTGGATTTTGGCGATGCAGGACAAGTACTCGTCCAGACGCCCGGTCGGACTGAGACGCACGAGAAAACGAAACAGAGAGAAAGTAAAGAAAAAAAAGAAAATGATCTGTGTAACTTTTTCTTTCTTTCTCTGGTTGAGGATCCGTCAAACGCTTTTCTCTGTGGATATTTAGCTGTTGCTTTGTCTGGAATGTTCCGCAGTATGGCTTTAAACCTTTCTATCTTCACGGAGACCAAACCGGACAGAGTTACAGGTCAGATCTGTGGAGAGGCGAGACCCGCTCACAGTCAGAGAGTCTGTCTGTCGAGGTGTTTTTGAGCTGTGAAACCAGCTGTGATTGAATAAATGTAAAGTAGAGCTGTTTAATGTCACACTGTGGAACATTCCAGGCAGAGCAATGACGTATCCATAGAAACAAGCAGGTGATGGACCCTCCGACAGGAAAGTTACACGGTGCAGCTTTAAGCCTGTGCATTCTTTAATATCACAAGGACCACAAGAAGAACTAAAGAAGGACTAAACCAGGACTAAGCCAGGTCTAAACAAGGACTAAACCAGGATTAAACCAGGTCTAAACCAGGACAAAACCAAGACTAAACCAGGACTAAACAAGGTCTAAACCAGGACAAAACCAGGACTAAACCAGGACTAAACAAGGTCTAAACCAGGACTAAACCAGGACTAAATAAAAATAAACCAGGTCTAAATAAGGACTAAACGGGGATCAAACCAGGACTAAACCAGGAGGACTGAACCAGAACTGAACCAGAGTTAAATCAGGACTGAACCAGGACAGGACTGAACCAGGACTGAACCAAGACTCAGCCAGGTCTAAACCAGGTTTAAACCAAGACTAAACCAAGACTAAACCAAGACTAAACCAAGACTAAACCAAGGACTAAACCAGGACTAAACAAGGTCTAAACCAGGACTAAACCAGGATCAAACCAGGACTAAATAAGGATCAAATTAGAATTAAACCAAGACTAAACCAGATCTAAAACCAGGAGTAAACCAAGACGAAACCAAGACTAAACCAAGACTAAACCAGGACTGAACCAGGATCAACCCAGGACTAAACCAATGTTAAACAAGGTCTAAACCAGGACACTAAACCAGGACTAAACCAGGTCTAAACCAGGACTAAACCAGGCCTCAGCCTCACCCCTCTCTGATGATGCGGTCCGTGTCCTTGGCGACGTGGTAGTATCCGATGACGTGGTCCATGCAGCTCAGGGTCTTGTCCACGTTTTCCTGGAGCCGCTGCAGGTTTTCCGTCTGTTTGTGGACCGGGATAATGGAATTCTCCAGCTGCATCAGGCGGCTCTCGAATGAGGACAAGATCGACACCTGACGAGTGACAGGAGCAGAGGGAGGGCAAAACACACTGTCCATTAATCAGCTCATGTCCTGGTCAAGACTAGACCAGGGCTGCCCAAACATTTGTACTGAAAAGACCATCAGAGGAGAGAAGAGTAGATGTAATGCCAGAGCAAATGAAGCTTCAAGAAGCTTTACGCTGGAGTGAACCAATTGGATGAAAGGCTTCAATGCTTCATCTGCCCATCACTAGGAATAACATGATCATGACATAAAGCTCTGCCTTTATACAATCAAACTGCACACAGGCTTAGGGAGACCGCAATTATTAACAGAATACAAGATAGTGAAGGGCCTGCCTGTAATTTCGATTTGTGTGTCAAATCTCCAAACTCATATAATCGAGTTTAAAACGATTTAAAGCTAAGTATATTTATTTAATTTTTTAAATATAGAGATTGTAAAACAGCTGCATATAGAGTTTATTTTGGATACATTTATGTTTTTCTGCCTATTTTCATGTTCAAAGTTTATTTTATTAATTTTATGCTTTATACTTTGCAAAACTGCTCTAAGGTTCATATTTGTAGCCTTTATTTATTTTCAATTTGAAAGTTTTGCGTAAACCAATAACAAAGTAAAAACAAATCAACAAATATAATAACAAAGTGTTTTTTTTTGTTTCATGGTATCCCCAGGTTTGACTACCCCAAATTTAAGACTTTTTAAGACCTTTATAAGACCTTGCACCCATTATGCAGGCGAAAAACACCAGATCCAATTTTAATAATGATCAAAGAACTAGAGAAACTATATCTAGAATTTAAGAGCCAACCTGGAAAGTTTTCCATAAACCAATAACAAAGTAATAATAATAAGAAATCAACAAATACAATAACAAAGAGTTGTTGTTTTTTTTTTTTGCAGAATAAATGCATCATGTAACTAAAATTTAATCGTTTGAATAATCGTGATTTCAATATTGACCAAAATAATCGTGATAATTATTTTTTTCCCATAAACAAACAGCCCTACTTAAAGATCTTGTTGGTGTGTCACTCGTGGTCAAACTTGGTCTCTTATTTATTTATGTTCTATGTTTCTATGTTTGTGTGCTGCTTTTGTTGTTGTGTTGTTCTATCTTTGTGTTAAAGCTGTGCTCCTCTGTCCCAACACAAATTTCTTCTTCAGAAAGGATTATTTTATACAGTTACACCTCTTTATTCATCACGAAAATCATCATTCATAAAAGTTTGACTCTTTTAATGCAGCGTTATATGACACTCTGTCCTCACTAGGGATGGGCATGATTAATCGATTAATCGATAATTGATCATTAAGAATTTCATCGATTATGTTAATTTTAATCGACAAACCGAATGTAGGTTGCTGTGCGTAGCGTGACCAAACAGGTGTGTACATGTGTCTCTGCATCAGAAGGAGCGAGACACAAACAGTCGGTCAGTCTGTAACGTACCGAAGCACAAATGCGTATTTAACGATGATTTGTACAAGAAATTCCACGCTTTCAGTTGCGTTCGGGACAAGTGTGAGTCCATGTCCACAGTGTACAAAGCAGGAACATATTTCGGTGTCCAGTGGGAAAAAGTTTTTCCAGGTGAGAGTCGCGCAATGTTGATGATGAGTCCCCACCTCCCACCCCCTGTACGCCTGTCCTGGTTACAAAACGCAAATCTGGTCACAACCTGTATTCCAATTACCTGTATTCCACTGAGTTATGTCTTTTAATCCAACAGAAATTGAACCGCATCAGCGACACAAGAGCTGTAGTTTTATCTTCACTTAGTTTATGCAAATTAGTGATGTGGTTTTAAGTTTTGTTTCTGTGAGAGTTGTTCAAAACTGAATTAAACACATTATAATGTCAAACGGGCTGATGTGTCATAAAGTTGAATTTATTTATGCAGATTAGTAGTGCAGATAGTAATAATAATGATGATCATTTTAATATAAAAACATTAATGATTAATCGATAATCGATCATTAATTCTTCCGACGATCGATTAAGAAAATTTCATCGAATGCCCATCTCTAGTCCTCACCACAGACTGTATAAAGATGTAAGTCTGTACAGAGTCACCACAGACTGTATAAAGATGTAAGTCTGTACAGAGTCACCACAGACTGCAGAAACATAAAAATAAAAGATAAAGTCTGTCCAGAGTTTTTATAAACACAGTCTGTGCTTCTCACCATTCCCTTTGTGAGCTGGTCACTCTTCTCCAGGTTTTCTCTGATGAACGACAGCGTCTCCTGCTCCTGAAACACCACGTAAAACACATGTTTAATGAGTTTATATTTACGCACTTCATGTTTTTAATCTGTCACGTTCACGGTCTGCGGGAAAGTGGTGTTAGCTCTAGCTTTAGCATTAGCTCGGACCTGCTTGAGTTTGTCTTCTATCTCCCGTTTCCGCGCAGAGTCCTCCGTGGGGACCATCCTGGAACCGAGGCCCATCTACCTCCTCTGTGTGTGAGAAATGTTATTCAATTATGTTCACGCAAAAGGCAAAAGTTTTTACGGCTGCACCGGAGCTAACCAGGCTAACTGTGAAAATGCTAACGGAGCAAAAACAAACGGACTTCCGGTTCCGCTTCCTCCTCCGCAGGCTCGTTCCTTTTAGTTTTTTTATTTATTTTTTTAATTTAATGAATTAAAATTAAAATTAAAATTAAAATTAAAATTAAAATTAAAATTAAAATTAAAATTAAAATTAAAATTACATACAAACTGAATTTCTCTTTTTGCCAATAAAAATGAAAATAAAAATAAAATACACATTGAATTTCTCTTTTTGCCAATAAAAATAAAAATAAAAATAAAAGCAAAAACATACGGATTTCCAGTTCCGCTTCCTCCTCCCCAAGCTCATTTCCTTTTTTTTTTTTTTTTTTTTATTTAATTTAATGAATAAAAAATGTTTATAAAAATTTAAATTAAAATTACATACAAACTGAATTTCTATTTTTTCAATAAAAAAATAAAAATAAAAAAATACACATTGAATTTCTCTTTTAGCCAATAAAAAATAAAAATGAAAATAAAAATAAAATACTCATTGAATTTCTCTTTTTGCCAATAAAAATAAAAATTAAAATAAAATACAAATTGAATTTAGCTTTTTGCCGATTCAAATAAAAAAATTAAAATGGAATAAAAACAAATCTCTCCTTTTGCCAATAAAAAAAGAGTAAATAAACAAAATTGACTAAAACTTAGACTAAAAAGGTTTATTATTATTAGTAGTAGTAAAGTTTATTTTCTGTGCAGCTTTGTTTGTCTCAGATGAACTGAAACATGAACCTAAATTTAAATGTTAATCTTTAATATTTTTATGTTTTGAAATCAATGTGATGAACCAGTATCTGTCAAGCTTTTCACACTAAGTACCACCAAAGGCCAGGACTGTAACAGGACTACTCCAGGTCTAATCTAGGACTAAACCAGGTCTGAAAGAGGAATCGATATTACCACAAAATAAGCAAAATAAATAAAACAGTGTATTTTCTCCAACTTCTAATCACAGAATTTAAAATAATGCAGTAATATCTATGTTTAATCAGTCATAAATGTGAATATATGAAAAGCAAATACACGTCACGAGTCTAAAATGTGAGTTTTTGGAAAGAACTTTGGGATAATTCTTATGATGTGATTAGTTTTTATTTACAGAGACTTGGTGTAAATGTGTTTTGTCGTGGACACACTTTTCGTGAATAGCCACACTCCAAACTTCCTCCGTCACAAAGCTCCGCCTCCTCTCCTCTTTTGCCTCTTTTCTCTGGTCTCGTCTTTCACTCTTGTCGTTTATCTTCCCCTCTCTCCCTCTCTTTTGTCCTCTCCACGTTTCTCTCCTCCCCTCGCTCTCCCTCTCTCTTTTGTCTGATTTCAAACTCATGTTCTCTCTCTCCCCCTCCCTCTTTTTTTGTCTCTCAAACTTGTGTTCTCTCTCTTTCTCCCTTCCTCCTGGTCTTTTTTTGTCTCCCTCCTTCCTCTCCTTCTCTTTCTCTCTTTCTCACCCCCTCTCTTCTTTCCTCTCTCCACATATCACCCTCTCCTTTGGTCTCCCTCTATTTCTTTTTTGTCTTGTCTCGTGTCCTCTCTCCCTTTCTCTCCCTTCTCTCTCTCCTTCTTTCTTTTTGTCCCGCCTGTCTCCTTCTCTCTCTCTCTCTCTCTCTCTCTTCTTTTGTCCTCCCTCTCTCCTCTCTCTCTCTTCCCCTTCATCTCTCCCTCTCTCCTTTTGTTTTCCCCCTCTCTTTTTGTCTTTTTGTCTCTCTCTCTCTCTGTACCTCTCCTCCTCTCTTTCTCTCCTTCTCACCCACTTCTCTTCTTCTCTGTCTCCATTTATCTCCCTTTCTCTCTGTCTTTCTTTTTTCTTTCTCTCTCTCACCCCTTCTCTGCCTCTCTCTCTTTTTCTGTCCTCTCTCTCTCCATCCTTTTATCTCTCTCTCTCTCTCTCTCGTCTTGTCTCCTGTCTACCTTTGTCCTCCCTCTCTTTCTCTCTCTTTCTTTCTCCCCCCTCCTTTGTCCTCCATTTCACCCCTCTCTCCTTTTGTCCTCCCTCTTTCTTCTTCTCTCCATCCCTCTCTCCTTCTATCCTTTTATTGTGCTCCCTCTCTTCTTCTCTCTCCCTCCTTTCCTCCCTCTTTTGCTGTCTGTTTCTCTCCTCCTCTCCTTTTGTTTTGTTCTTTCTCTTTCTTCTTCTCTCTCTCCTTTTCTCCCCCTCTTTCTCTCTCCTATCCTCCCTCGTTTGTCCTACCTCTCTCCTCCTTTTGTGCTCCCTCTCTCTGTCTGGAGGAATGTCCCTTTTTTGTCCTTTCTTTCTCTCGCCCTCTCTCCCTCCCTCTTTTGTCCTCTCCTTTTGCCCTCTGTTTCTCTCCCCCTCTCCTTCTGTCCTCCCTCTCTCTGTCCGTAGGAATGTCCCTCTTTTGTCTTCCCTCTCTCTTCTTCTCTTTCCCCTTCTCTCCCTCTCTTTCTCTCTCCCTCCCTCTTCTGTCCTCCCTCTCTTCTCCTCTCCTTCTGTCCTCCCTCTCTTCTCCTCTCCTTCTGTCCTTCCTCTCTCTGTCTGTAGTAAAGTTACTTTTTTGTCCTCAGTTTCTCTGTTCCCTCTCTCCTCTCTCCTTCTTTCCTCACTCCATTTCTCTCCCCCCCTCTCCTTCTGTCTCCTCCCTCTCTCTGTCCGGTGGAATGTCCTCCTTTTTTTGTCCTCTCTTTCTCTCTCCCTCCCTCTTCCGTCCTCCCTCTCTCCTCCTCTCCTTCTGTCCTCCTCGTCTCATTCTGTCTTTTTGTCTTCCCTCTCTTCTCCTGTCCTTTTGCCCTCTGTTTCTCTCCCCCTCTCCTTCTGTCCTCCCTCTCTCTGTCCGGTGGAATGTCCATTTTTTTGTCCTCTCTTTCTCTCTCCCTCCCTCTTCTGTCCTCCCTCTCCCTCTCTCCTTCTGTCCTCTCTCCATTTCTCCCCCCCTCTTCTTCTGTCCTCCCTCTCTCTGTCCGGTGGAATGTCCTCCTTTTTTTGTCCTCTCTTTCTCTCTCCCTCCCTCTTCCGTCCTCCTCTCTCTCCTCTCCTTCTGTCCTCCTCGTCTCATTCTGTCTTTTTGTCTTCCCTCTCTTCTCCTGTCCTTTTGCCCTCTGTTTCTCTCCTCTTCTCCTTCTGTCCTCCCTCTCTCTGTCCATAGGAATGTCCCTCTTTTGCCCTCTGTTTCCCCCCCTCTCTCCTTTTTGTCCTCTCCCTCTCTTCTTCTCCGTCCCTCCTTCCCTCCCTCTTTTGCTGTCTGTTTCTCTCCTCCTCTCCTTTTGTTTTGTTCTTTCTCTTTCTTCTTCTCTCTCTCCTTTTCTCCCCCTCTTTCTCTCTCCTATCCTCCCTCGTTTGTCCTCCCTCTCTCCTCCTTTTGTCCTCCCTCTCTCTGTCTGGAGGAATGTCCCTTTTTTGTCCTTTCTTTCTCTCGCCCTCTCTCCCTCCCTCTTTTGTCCTCACCTTCTCTCCCCTCTCCTTTTGTCCTCCCTCTCTTCCTCCTCTCCTTTTGCCCTCTGTTTCTCTCCCCCTCTCCTTCTGTCCTCCCTCTCTCTGTCCGTAGGAATGTCCCTCTTTTGTCTTCCCTCTCTCTTCTTCTCTTTCCCTTCTCTCCCTCTCTTTCTCTCTCCTCCCTCTTTGTCATCCCTCTCTCCTTCTGTCCTCCTCTTCTCATTCTGTCTTTTTGTCCTCCCTCTCTTCTCCTGTCCTTTTACCCTCTGTTTCTCTCCTCTTCTCCTTCTGTCCTCCCTCTCTCTGTCCGTAGGAATGTCACTTTTTTGTCCTCCGTTTCTCCGTTCCCTCTCTCCTTCTGTCCTCACTCCATTTCTCTCCCCCTCCTCTTCTGTCCTCCCCTCTCTCTGTCCGATGGAATGTCCAATTTTTTGTCCTCTCTTTCTCTCTCCCTCCCTCTTCTGTCCTCCCCTCTCTCCTCCTCTCCTTCTGTCCTTCCTCTCTCTGTCTGTAGTAAAGTTACTTTTTTGTCCTCAGTTTCTCTGTTCCCCCTCTCCCTCTCTCCTTCTGTCCTCACTCCATTTCTCCCCCCCCTTTCTTCTGTCCTCCCTCTCTCTGTCCGGTGGAATGTCCTCCTTTTTTTGTCCTCTCTTTCTCTCTCCCTCCCTCTTCCGTCCTCCCTCTCTCCTCCTCTCCTTCTGTCCTCCTCGTCTCATTCTGTCTTTTTGTCTTCCCTCTCTCCTCCTCTCCTTCTGTCCTCTGTTTCTCTCCTCTTCTCCTTCTGTCCTCCTCGTCTCATTCTGTCTTTTTGTCCTCCCTCTCTTCTCCTGTCCTTTTGCCCTCTGTTTCTCTCCTCTTCTCCTTCTGTCCTCCCTCTCTCTGTCCATAGGAATGTCCCTCTTTTGCCCTCTGTTTCCCCCCCTCTCTCCTTTTTGTCCTCTCCCTCTCTTCTTCTCTCTCCCTCCTTTCCTCCCTCTTTTGCTGTCTGTTTCTCTCCTCCTCTCCTTTTGTTTTGTTCTTTCTCTTTCTTATCTCTCTCTCTCTCTCTCTCTCTCTCTCGTCTTGTCTCCTGTCTACCTTTGTCCTCTCTCTCTTTCCCTCTCTTTCTTTCTCCCCCCTCTTTTGTCCTCCATTTCACCCCTCTCTCCTTTTGTCCTCCCTCTTTCTTCTCCTCTCCCTCCCTCTCTCCTTCTATGCTTTTATTGTGCTCCCTCTCTTCTTCTCTCTCCCTCCTTTCCTCCCTCTTTTGCTGTCTGTTTCTCTCCTCCTCTCCTTTTGTTTTGTTCTTTCTCTTTCTTCTTCTCTCTCTCTCCTTTTCTCCCCCTCTTTCTCTCTCCTATCCTCCCTCGTTTGTCCTCCCTCTCTCCTCCTTTTGTCCTCCCTCTCTCTGTCTGGAGGAATGTCCCTTTTTTGTCCTTTCTTTCTCTCTCTGCCCTCTCTCTCCCTCTCCTTTTGTCCTCCCTCTTTTCTCCTCTCCTTTTTGCCCTCTGTTTCTCTCCCCCTCTCCTTCTGTCCTCCCTCTCTCTGTCCGGTGGAATGTCCTCCTTTTTTTGTCCTCTCTTTCTCTCTCTCTCCCTCCCTCTCTTCTCCTTCTGTCCTCCCTCTCTCTGTCCGTAGGAATGTCCCCTTTTTTTGTCCTCTCTTTCTCTCTCCCTCCCTCTCTTCTCCTTCTGTCCTCCCTCTCTCTGTCCGTAGGAATGTCCCTCTTTTGTCTTCCCTCTCTCTTCTTCTCTTTCCCCTTCTCTCCCTCTCTTTCTCTCTCCCTCCCTCTTTTGTCATCCCTCTCTCCTTCTGTCCTCCTCTTCTCATTCTGTCTTTTTGTCCTCCCTCTCTTCTCCTGTCCTTTTGCCCTCTGTTTCTCTCCTCTTCTCCTTCTGTCCTCCCTCTCTCTGTCCGTAGGAATGTCACTTTTTTGTCCTCCGTTTCTCCGTTCCCTCTCTCCTTCTGTCCTCACTCCATTTCTCTCCCCCTCCTCTTCTGTCCTCCCTCTCTCTGTCCGATGGAATGTCCATTTTTTTGTCCTCTCTTTCTCTCTCCCTCCCTCTTCTGTCCTCCCTCTCTCCTCCTCTCCTTCTGTCCTTCCTCTCTCTGTCTGTAGTAAAGTTACTTTTTTGTCCTCAGTTTCTCTGTTCCCCCTCTCCCTCTCTCCTTCTGTCCTCACTCCATTTCTCTCCCCCTCTTCTTCTGTCCTCCCTCTCTCTGTCCGGTGGAATGTCCTCCTTTTTTTGTCCTCTCTTTCTCTCTCCCTCCCTCTTCCGTCCTCCCTCTCTCCTCCTCTCCTTCTGTCCTCCTCGTCTCATTCTGTCTTTTTGTCTTCCCTCTCTTCTCCTGTCCTTTTGCCCTCTGTTTCTCTCCTCTTCTCCTTCTGTCCTCCCTCTCTCTGTCCATAGGAATGTCCCTCTTTTGCCCTCTGTTTCCCCCCCTCTCTCCTTTTTGTCCTCTCCCTCTCTTCTTCTCCGTCCCTCCTTCCCTCCCTCTTTTGTGTCCGGAGTGTGCTGGATCTTTTGTGGATCTTTTGAGGATCTTTTGACCTCCAGGCTCCATCTGCTCGTGTCTCCTCGGAGCATCTGGACGGAGCTGCAGGTTTAAAGGGTTTTGGGTTTAAAGAGTCGGCGGAAGAGAAAAAGACTCGAACCGTCCCCCGCGGCTCTGGGCCCGAGGCGGAGCAGCTCAGACAAAAGGACACAAACAAAAGGACACAAACAAAAGGACACAAACAAAAGGACACACTTTTGGAGGGAATCAATAAATAACATTCGACACCAACAACAACAAAAACACACTTCAGCTAATCCCACCTGAGGCACAAAACCACATCTCTATTCATTCATCTTTTTCTATTTTCTGATTTGTTTTGGGGAAAATTATAATTATTCCATCCATTTCTACAGCACCGTGTTACTGTTGTTGTTGTTTTTTTCTATCATCTTTAAAATTTTCCTCGGGATCCATAAAGTCTCTCTGTGTCTCTTTTTGTTTTGGTGAAAATTATATCATCATTCATTAAGTTAAAAAGTGTATGTCCCAAAAAAATTCATTCAAATCATTTCACGGACCAATAATTTTGCCAATTCTTGTTGAAATAAGCTCAAATTTTCACTCGGGATTTCCAAATCTCCAAATCGTCATAAGTTCCTCAGATCACGACTGACATGAGAATGCACAATGTTCCACGCTCTTTTTACGATTTTATTTATACCAAACATACAAACCTGGCTGTGTTCCAGTTTAGAATTTAGAAAATCTGGTCACTCTAATCTTGAACCTCAAATAAACTGAAGCAAAACTAAACTGAAGTAATAAAGAATCATGAAACATCCTGACTGTAATTACACAAACATAACTAGATTCTAATCAGAAATACCCAATATGCAAATGATCGTATTATTATAATGTAAAGTACCCTGTTTTCATTTATTTCTGATTAAAATTCAAGTTATAATTGACTCGTAAATACACTAGTAAAGTTTATTTTCTGTGCCGTCTTGTTTGAGCCACATCTCACCAACAGATGAACGGAAACATGAACCGAAACTGAAATGTTAATCTTTAATATTTTGTGTTTTGAAGTTAATGTCAAAAATAAACTCTTCACACTAAGTACTAATGTTGTGGTACTTGAGACTGGTCTTGGTCTCGAGATCGCTCTTGAGACCACTTTTTATGGTCTTGGTCTTAAGTCAGACTCGAGCACATTTGGTCTTGGTCTTGTCTCGGACTCGAGGTCTGACAGTTGACGAGTGTGATCATATTTCATTATGGCGAGTAAATGGTAAAACCACCTAGTGCCTCCAGTCAATTTCATTTCTCTCCAGCGACTAGGTCAGGAATCAGAAAACACTAGATGATTTACAAGAATCCCAGAAGTTGTAGACCACACACCGGCCAATCAGCTGTGAGCTGTGAAGTCATGACGTCAAACTCATCTCGTCTGTCTGTGTCCCTTTTGTGGAACAGCACAACAGTAAACAAAGCGTCAAGATGGATGTAGATGATGACAGACATTCTGTGTTGGCAATGATTCTCGAGATCGAGGATTTAAAGCCGAAACAAAGAGAATGTTTGTTGAATTTTATCTCGAGGAAAGACGTTATTGTTCTTCTTCCTACAGGATGTGGTGCATTACATACGTCACGACCAAACAGCAGCGACTGGTTAAATAAAAAAAGTCCCCGCCTACTGTTGAGCGAATGAATCCCAATGCTGCGAGGTCACACTGTTTCTACGAAGTGAAACCGTGATGAATCAGGCTTGGTAAATGTGCAAAGGCTAAATATCGCTGCAAAACCAGTAAGATCATGTAACTGTAAATGTTATGAACTTGAAAAAACTCACCTGATTCACTTTGAAGTTGTTTTGTGTAAAGTTCCAGTGGAAGTAAAGAAGAGGTTCTCAAACTGTGGGTGAGGCTCCAGAAAAGGGCCACAGAACAGAACCGCAGAACAGTTTTCTTGGCCTATTTTAAGATTCAGTGAACATAAATCAGATCAAATGGAGATAGACTGATAAAAACACTGATATATTTGTGCCAAAAATAACTGTAAAATACAAATAAATGTAGAAAATGACAACAATAGTCTCGATGGGCCGTGGTCTCAGTCTTGTCTCAGTCTCGACCCTCAGAGGTCTTGGTCTTGTCCTGGTCTCGACCCTCAGAGGTCTCGGTCTTGTCCTGGTCTCGACCCTCAGAGGTCTCGGTCTTGTCCTGGTCTCGACCCTCAGAGGTCTCGGTCTTGTCTGGTCTCGACCCTCAGAGGTCTCGGTCTTGTCCTGGTCTCGACCCTCAGAGGTCTCGGTCTTGTCTCGGTCTCGACCCTCAGAGGTCTTGGTCTTGTCCTGGTCTCGAGATCCTGTGGTCTTAGACTGGTCTTGGTCTCGATTAGTGCGTTTTTGACTAAAACACTACTAAATACTACCATGAAATATCACAAAACATCCTAATTTTTTTTTTTTTTTTTTTTTACCAAAGACTGTAATTACACAAACATAACTGAATTCCAATTATAAATACACAATATGTGAATTATTGTATTATTATAGTGTAAAATATCTTATTTTCATATTTTTTTCATGGGCCAAACTTGATTTTTTACATGACCGATGCTTAATTACATTATAATAAGTGTATGTCATGACATATTTAATGTATTTCACTCTTTTTATCCCGTTTTGGAGCTGTTCTTTTGTGTTTTTTAAAACGTTGTTCTTCCTTTAACTGAATCCCTTTAAATTTCACGCTTCTTTTAAAAAACTCCAACCGCACCATTTTATGTACGCTCACTGACTGACCCCTTTCTGAGCCAATCACAGCGCGGCGCGGAGGGATGCGGCCAATCAGAGAGCAGAGCGCCGTGTCAGCTCCGCGCTCTGGACCAATCGGAGCGCTCCGAGGGCGGGGCCAGCGCAGTGTTGTTGAGACGCTGTTGTTCGAGAGCTCAGTTTCTCTCGGACTTTCACTGGATTTACACCAAAACTACGCGAAAACCAAAGGAAATATCCACCAAAAACACCCCGGGGAACACTAACCTCACCTGTTATGCTGCTTTTTCACGCCTAAAGTAAGTATTTAACCCCGAAACCATCCATTTTTGCGTGAGCGGACCTTAGATTTCGCGTCACCGTTAGTAACACTTAGCTTCATCTGCACAGACTTTCGTTGGTAAAATTCTCAACATTTTTTGCTTTTTTCCCTTAAAATTGAACCCAAATCGTAATTATTTTAACGTTTAACCTTTCAATAAACACTCACCTCGTTAACCAAAGCGTGGCACTGCATTTTAACCACAAATGTACTTATATTTCACTGATTACGCAGCGTTTTCCCATCTTCTTTCTAACGCGAATTGTGACGCCGGCCCCGGATTTGCGTCTCAATAATCTCCTTATGTTCACATTTATTTTTTATTTGTTTGTTCATTTAAACACGTTGAAATGGGAAGAGTTTGGTCAAAGCGTCGTTTTCTGTCGGATTTTTTATCCTGAGCTGTAAAAATGCACCTGCTCCTGGTCCTGCTCAGCTCCAACCGGGACAGAACCAACCATTCTCTGTTATCACACGTAATAACTGTGGAATTATTCATAGTTAAACATGAATTTTAACAGATTTATTCATTAACTACTGAGTCAATAGTTGCCAAGGCTGTTAAGTTAAGATTTGTCATTGTTAGAAAGCTTATAATCCACCAAACTCGGACCAAACCAAGACCTACAACTAATACTTTTTTACACTTTTTACTTTTGTCTTTATTTTTACACATTTTAAAGCCACACTGCGTAAAATTTCTAGTGGAGAGCCAGCCGACCGGTGTCTCCATGGAAACGTTATTGCTTCGTCACTACGCCGCGTTACAGGTCAGATCTGCGGAGAGTCTCCCCTGTTCACAGAAGGAATTAATGTATTTTGGAGCAACAGAACTGCACGTAATGAATGTTTAAAGTCATACCGTGGAACATTCCAGGTGAAGCAATAACATCTCCATGGAGACGAACAGTTGGCGGACTCTCTCCTCCAGCAGAAAAGTTGCACAGTGCAGCTTTAAAACACTTATAATTCACTAAACTGGGACTAAGACAGAACCAAACCAAGACTTAGAATGTATACTTTTACACTTTCTACTTTTGTCTTTATTTTTACACATTTATTTATTGTTTTAAAGCTGCACTGTGTAACATTTCTAGTGGAGAGCCAGTCCACATTTGTCTCTATGGAAACGTCAACATCGCTTTCTCACCACGCTACATTACAGGTCAGATCTGCGGAGAGTCGCCCCTGTTCATGCAAGGAATAAATGTATTTTGGAGCAACAGAAACACACGTAATGAATGTTTAAAGTCATACTGTGGAACATTCCAGGTGAAGCAGTAACAGCTCCATGGAGACGAACAGTTGGCGGACGCTTCTCTAGCAGAAAAGTTGCGCAGTGCAGCTTTAAAACACTTATTATTCACTAAACTGGGACCAAACCAAAACTTAAAACGAATACTTTGACACTTTTTAATTTAGTCTTTATTTTTACACGTTCATTTATTGTTTTAAAGCCGCACTGCGTAACATTTCCAGTGGAGGGTCTGTCAACTCTTGGTCTCCATGGAAACGCCAACATCGCTTTGTCACCACGCTACATTACAGGTCAGATCTGCGGAAAGTCACCCCTGTTCACGCAAGGAATTAATGAATTTTTGAGCATCCGAAATGCGCGTAATGAATGTTTAAAGTCATACTGTGGAACATTCCAGGTGAAGCAATTACATCTCCATGGAGACGAACAGTTGGCGGACGCTCCTCTAGCAGAAAAGTTGCGCAGTGCAGCTTTAAAACATTTATAATTCACTAAACTGAGACTAAACCAAGACTTAGAACGAACACTTTAAGACTTTTTACTTTTGTCTTTATTTTTACACGTTTATCTATTGTTTTTAAAGCTGCACTGTGTAACATTTCTAGGGGAGGGTCTGTCAACTCTTTGTCTCCATGGGAACGTTATTGCTTCTTCACCGCACTACATTACAGGTCAGATCTGTGGAGAGTCACCCCTCTTCACAGAAGGAATTAATCTATTTTTGAGCATCAGAAATGCACGTAATGAATGTTTAAAGTCATACTGTGGAACATTCCAGGCGAAGCAATAACATCTCCATGGAGACAAACAGTTGGCAGACGCTCCTCCAGCAGAAAAGTTGCGCAGTGCAGCTTTAAAACATTTATAATTCACTATACCGGGACCAAACCAAGACTTAGAATGAACACTTTAAGACTTTTTACTTTTGTCTTTATTTTCACATGTTTATTTATTGTTTTAAAGCCGCACTGCGTAACATTTCTAGTGGCGGGTCTGTCAACTCTTTGTCTCCATGGAAACGTTATTGCTTTGTCCTGGGCTGGTGGAGGTTTGGTTAAATCCTGTTTCAGTCCTGGTCTGGTCCTGCTCGTCTCTGTTTGCTCTCGGTTACGGCCGGACGATTCAGAAAAAATATAAATATGTATAAATATCTGTTCTGATCCAAATCCAAACCCATTTTATTTCTACAGAACATTTTATAAACAAAGACGTTTCCAAAGCGCTGCACCGAGCATCATAAAAAGATAAATCACCAGTCCAAAAACAATAAAACCAGCCAAATCAAATAAAAGCAAAACCATAAAAATCATAAAATAGCAGTAAGTATGTAGAATAAATACAATAAAATAAAAAGACTGAAATCTGAACTGACAAACGAAAACAAGAATCACATTTCAGAACAGGTTTGTACAGATCGAAACTCCAGGGTTAGTACTTTTTATGCAGATATACACAATTTTTCTGCAGAATAAAACAGGAGATTTTTTTTGTTTGTGGAGAATTTATAGGATTTCAAAAACTGCAGCTTTGTGATTTGATAATTGCGATCATAAATATCACACAATCACATAAATTGTGATTTCGATTGCGAATTTCAGACTTGATTTTTATTCTTAGGAACAGACTCGATACTGATTCTGATCACACGATGAGAAAAAAAAACAAACTTTCTTTAGATAATCTCCTGTGATTTTCCACATTTCTTTTCTGTTCCCACATGTCCTTATATCTGTGTAGGACTAAACCAGGACTAAACCAGGTTTAAACCAGGTCTAAACCAGGACTAAACCAGGACTAAACCAAGACTAAACCAGGAATAAACCAGGACTAAACCAGATTTAAACCAGGTCTAAACCAGGTCTAAACCAGGTCTAAACCAGGACTAAACCAGGATCAAACAAGGACTAAACCAGGTCTAAACTAAACCAGGACTAAACCAAGTCTAAACCAGGACTAAACCAGAACTAAACCAGGTTTAAACCAGGTCTAAACCAGGTCTAAACCAGGTCTAAACCAGGACTAAACCAGGAGTAAACCAGGTCTAAACAAGGATCAAACAAGGACTAAACCAGGTCTAAACTAAACCAGGACTAAACCAGGACTAAACCAGGTCTAAACTAAAACAGGACTAAAACAGGTCTAAACCAGGACTAAAACAAGTCTAAACCAGGTCTAAACCAAGATTAAACCAGGTTTAAACCAGGACTAAACCAGAAATAAACCAAGTCTAAAACAGGACTAAACTAAACCAGGTGTAAACCAGGTGTAAATCAGGCCAAAACCAGGTCTCAACTGGGTCTAAACCAGGTCTAAACTAAACCAGGTCTAAAGCAGGTCCATGGGCGTACACTAGTGCTCTTATATTTGTTCTGATGCAGTTCCAGATCGTTCTAAACATGTAAAGGTAAAGTTCCGCTCTGGGACTTTTCTAGTTTAGATCCGTGTGAAAAAATAGGCAGTAATTTGTACATTAGTTTCAGTTTGGATCAGTGTGTGTTTGTGGTTCTCGAGTGTGTGATTGTGTTTCTCGAGTGTGTGATTGTGTTTCTCGAGTGTGTGATTGTGTTTCTCGAGTGTGTGATTGTGTTTCTCGAGTGTGTGATTGTGTTTCTCGAGTGTGTGATTGTGTTTCTCGAGTGTGTGATTGTGGTTGTGGAGTGTGTGATTGTGGTTCTCGAGTGTGTGATTGTGGTTCTCGAGTGTGTGATTGTGTTTCTCGAGTGTGTGATTGTGGTTCTCCAGTGTGTGTTTGTGGTTGTTGAGTGTGTGATTGTGGTTGTGGAGTGTGTGATTGTGGTTCTCCAGTGTGTGATTGTGGTTCTCCAGTGTGTGATTGTGTTTCTCGAGTGTGTGATTGTGTTTCTCGAGTGTGTGATTGTGGTTCTCGAGTGTGTGAGTGTGGTTGTTGTGCCTCGTGTGCAGTTGGAGCGTTGGAGCGTGCGGGGGCATTGTCCTGTTGTTGTGCTGTTGTTGTGCGTTGCCGCGGTGACAGCAGTGACAGGTTTTGTTGTGGTGCTTTTCCCCGGAGGCTCTGAGGTCAGTTTCACACTAAGACGCCGGAGCACAGATGTGTTATGGACTCAGGTTTACGTCTGTCGGCAAACTGACGCATAACTGATGTAAAACTGTGATAAATATTCATCACAGACAAAACCAATTAAAAAAATGTATTACCGTATTTTTTGGACTATAAGGCACACCGGATTTTAAAGCGCATTAAGCGAGACAAAACAGTCAGATAAGTCAAACTTTATTCAACTCATTTACAAAAACTCAGGTTAGAATGTGGATCAGGATGAATTTTTGAGTCCGGCCTGCGTCATACAAAGCAGTGATTCAATCCGACTTGAGCCCAGTAGGCATTAAGATATTTGTGTCCGAACCTGACCAAACCTGACACTATTAAAATCACACTATTTCCACAGGCCTAATGACACAAGAAGAATATTGTTTTTGTTCCTCTAACGGACACAGAGACACAAAATACTAACTCGGACTATAGCGAAAATTATGAGAAGATTTTATTCCTCACCTCTTGTAAAGTTGTAAATTCAACCTGCAGCATCTCATCCGCATTATCCAGAGAAATTGTGCTCTGCAAATAATGACCCCAGTCCACAAAGCAGCACTATTAATCCAGTTTGAATCATTCTTTAAAAGTAAAAAGGTGAGAGTAGTTCCTCACGTGTCTGTTTACATCCACACAGCCCACGGATCGAGGTGAAGCTGCAGATTAGAAACAGTGACTCTACTTCCCCAGGACTTTATCTTTAAAAATCCTGTATCTGAAGTTTTGCACCACATTTCACAAATAATAATAACACAGTTTTGACTTGTATCTAAACTAGAAGTGCAGAGCTCTGATCTTTGAACACTTAAGAGTCTCAGAGCGACAGGTTTTACTATAGACAGGAAACAGCTGACGCGCTGATGTGTCCGAGTCCAACCTGAGCCAGAACATAAGTTCTACGGAACCAGACGTCCACGATCCTTTGGCAGATCGTGACATAACTCGCCCGCGTTGCCTCCCTGTCTTGTGAATGTGTGTTACTCCACGAGGCTCCTCACTACATTTGCCCTAATGCTCCGACAATCCACCAAGCGGTGCAGCTTCGTAGTTTACCAAAGTCGTGCTAAAACATTTTGACAGATTTTTGAGCGCCATGTGCCACATTAAATCGGTTCAAGGTCAGTAAACACAACCAGAATTAATACATAAAGTGCACCGGATTATAAATGTGCACTGTAGATTTTTGATGAAAATAAAAGGATTTTAAGTGCGCCTTATAGTCCAAAAATATGGTAATCTGTGAAATGCACTTTAAAGGAAATGTGACTCAATCCCACTTTAACCTTTGACCTCCTGTTGTCTCTGTGCAGGTGCGCTCAGGTCACAGGATGCATATGACCCGCAGCCCCGCCTCCCCGGCCCTGCCCCCCTCTCACATGGCCCCGCCCCCCTCAGGTGCGTCTCCGGGCGAGGCTCTGGACCTGAGCATCAGCGGCTCTCGGATCACCGTGACGACCAGACGCCCCAACAGCGCCTCCCCTGGGAAGACCGGGAAAACCTTCAGCCGCTCCGTGTCTGTGATCGGAGAGACCAGGAAGCACCGGAACACCCTGGTACTGCTCCTGTCGGCTCCTGCCAGCTCCTGTCGGCTCTTGTCTGCTCCTCTGTCTCTTATGTTTATAAATTCATATTTCTTTCATCTTTCAGGCTGATTCTTTGGGAGGTTCTCGTTCTATAAAGAATCTTCGACGTTCCAACAGCACGACTCAGGTTAACCACACCATCGGGGGGCGCCACAGGTCAGAACTCACCTCAAACATCAAACACTTTAAATATGTGTGAACAGAGCTGTCAAAAGCTTTCATAAACCTCTCTGACCAGTTCGTACTCGAGTCATTTTGGTTGTGGATACAGTGTTCGTTCACACTAATCCGACTGAAAACGGCTCCAGAGACGGAACGATCTGGTGCCATCAGCTCCCACAACTTCATGTTCGTACAGATCTGATCCTTGACTGTGTGGACGCCTGAAAACACTGATACTCTGACGTAGGAGCTCGAGTCGCGTTCTTATTGGACCACGTCACTGTGACTCGCTCCTTCCTGATTCTCTGGGTTCGTGACATCGGTCATGTGACAATATTGACAGGGCAGCTGCAGGGTCTTAAAAGTCTTAAAAAGGTTTTAAATTTCATGTTCCTAAATGAATGCCTTAAAAAGTTTTAAATTATGTTGTTCAAGTCTTATTTTTTTCACAAAGGTCTTAAATTTCATTAGCCTATTTTTTTATACACTCAAAACAACATTGTGCAATCACGTAACGTGAATAAACGTCTAATACGATACTTTGGTTTCTTGCGCTGAAGGCAATAAGTAAACAATCAGTAGAGTGGAGGAAGGATCATGGGGAAGTGTCAGTTTAATCCACAGTGCCTCTTAGATTTAAGATGTAATAGTTGTTTGGTCATTATTAGAATTGGATCTGGTGTTTTTCGCCCACGTACGATGTTGGTCTTAATTTTCATTTAAGTGGGCTTATAAAGGTCTTAAAAAGTCTTAAATTTGGGGTAAACAAACCTGGGGATACCCTGATTGAGGAAAACAGTTTAAACAAACCAGAGACAAACAGGAAACATCGGAGCTACAACTACTTGCTAGTAGAAAAAACAGTTTCGACGCTTGCCATCTTTTTCGGCTTTAAATCGGCTGCTGGAACTTTAGACATGGTGCTCCATTTTTACGGCCCACGTCAAACTCTGTGGGTAACTCTTAGCTACATTTACAACTTTTTTTGCACTGATTTTAATCCTGAGTGTAGCTGTATGTGTAATATCAGGGTTATTATCAGGTTTCTGGAGCTAAAAGATCAATAAAATGAAACGTAAACAGAAAAATCATCAGACTTCTTTCTGATCACTGTCTCTGTTTGCATCACATCCTTTAAGTAATTTCAAAGGTCTAGAAATCAGGTCATTGTTCTCAAAAGTACTGCATTTTTCGGACTATAAGTCACTCCGGAGTTTAAGTCGCACCAGCCAAGAAATATGTAATGAAGAAGAAAAGCATATATAAGTTGCACTTTCTGGGGGAAATTTATTTTATAAAATCAGAAACCAGGAATGACATTTCCTGTTTTCAGTCAAGTTCTAGTAAAAACAATAGAATAGAAAACAACAGACTGTTAACGTCACATATGAACAGTTCTTCAGATAAACTATAACATAAACAACAGAACAGAACAAGTTTACTAAACTCTCCATCTCACTTCAAATCACTAAATCCATTCAATTCTTCATTGTCGGTGTCACTTCTGAACAACTCGGCCTCGACCTCCGGAGGTAAACAGAGCGACGCAAACTCTTCTGTGTCGCTGTCGTCAGACTCAGCATCAGTTCCAGTTAGAATTATTCGGGTCTTTCTGAATCTCAACAGGATGGTTTCTGTGTCACTGAAGTCCAGACTTTGTCCATCCATCCAGTGACTTCAGGAAAGTTTCACGGTGCATCCTCCCGGCGTCACAAGTTTCTCTCTCACTCCAAACTCTCTTTCTGCTGCTTGATTTTCGTTTTCAGCTGCAGATTTCACGACTTGCAGTTTATAATCTGTAAAATCTGATTTTGTTTTTGGGGCATTTGTGTTCAGTTTTCTCAGTCGTCTTTATAAGTTTGTTTAAATGTTAAATTGTTCAGTGGTGCAGACGTAACGGTGCGATCGACTGACATGATACAGACAGGACAGAGGCTCTTTCTGCAGGAGACATGTGCAGTAGAGCCAAGTGACAGTGGTACAGGAGGAACAGGAGCAGCAGATCCTCACACACAAGACTAGAACCTCTCCACACTTCACTCAAACATTTTAATATAGAAGTCGCAGGAAACACCCAAACCAGGAAAAAGTGCCACGTATAGTCCGAAAAATATGGTAATGAAAATCAGATACTAACTGATCGAAACTTGGTACTTATTTGTGCAGGTCTCGATCTAAATAAAGTCCCATTTTCAGGACGGAGCAGAACTTTTCCTGAACGTCTTTAGAACGATCTGGAGCTGTATCAGAACACGTAGACTCTTGATCGGCTCCTGGTCCATGACATGACAGCGCGGCAGGTGTCACATGACCCCGCCCTCTGCGTCATGTGTCACGTCGTTCCTTCAGCGCGGCGCATTCCTCCGGTTAATGTCATGTTAATGTGAGAGTTATGCTAATGCGAATGCTAATGGGGCAGCTGGAGGCCGAGACCCGTGACCCCTGACCTCTGCACACGCTCAGTCTGCAGCTGCTCTCAGGAGGGAAACTCTGCGCTTCAAAACAAACTGTTAATAACTGTGTTTATTTGTTTATTTGGGTTTAATCTTGTGACAGCGATAAAACACGTCACGTTACGGCGGCCGACGGCGGACAAACGCAAAGGCCCAAAGCGTCTCAGAGAAAACAGCTTCAAATAGAAAAACTGGCAAATTCACAAACTCAAACACAAGTTTAAATGACGTACAAACAAAGAACCTGGTGCAAATGAAAAAAACACGCACGCAAGAAACAAGAACAAATGCGTTGTCTACAAATGTGCCGCAAATAGAGAAATCACGCAAAACACAAAACTAAGAAAACACCGAAAAACGAAAAATGCTGCATAAAGACTCACCACGTGATGTACGGTGTTTTACAGCGATATTTATATTATTTATAAAACACTGTATATGAATAAAATAAAATAAAAGCCACATTACCGTAACAAACACTGGGCTGTTACACTGAGAGCGCCCCCTGCAGGTTGTGATGAGTCTTTATGCAGCGTTTTGTGTTTTGCATCGTTTCTCTATTTGCGGCACATTTGATGATAACAAAAATGTGTCTTTGTTTCTTGCGCCGTGTTTTTTTTTCATTTGCACCACGTTCTTTGTTTGTACGTCATTTAAACTGAGACGCTTTGGGCCTTTGCAGTTTGGCGCCCGTCGGCTTCCGTAGCTTTTATAGTGGGTTTAAGGCCCCGCCCGCACTAGTTCGTATTGCAGTCATTTTCGTTGCGGATACAGTGTTCGTCTACATTAATCTGACTAAAAACGGCTCCAGAGACGGAACTATCTGGTGTCTCCAGCTCCCACGAATTCATGTTTGTACAGATCTGATCCTTGACTGTGTGGACGCCTGAAAACACTGATACTCTGATGTAGGTCTGTGCACCGCCAAAACACTAAGAGTCTAGAATATCTGTCCATTCATATAAACGTGTGTCTGTGTGTACGACCTGCAGACGTATAATCTCTGAAAAGTTTCACATGAACCACCAACACGACAGAAACACAGAACAGACTCACCATCAGCAGAACACCCCTCTGTCACAGAAAGAACACTCATATTCCACTGAGTCGTGTCCTTTAGTCTGACAGAAACTGAACTGCATCAGCGCACAATAGTGAACTGTTTTGAGCGCTCAGTTTATGTAAATTAGCCATGCGGTTTTAAGTTTAATTTCTGTAAAACATAAAGCTGTGTGGAGAGGGAAAGCTTGTGGACACAGAAACGATGTGTTTGGATGCAAATCGTTTCCGATACGGTGATACGCGGATTCGTTTCGGTGTAAACGGGGTCTCAGTTTCCTCTATTTGGCCGTTCCAATCTGATATTTAGTTTAGAATTGTTAGTCGCTATGGTTACGTACCTGTGAGTTTTATGTGCTCAGAGACGGGACTGGAGGCGTGTGCTGCGTCTGACCTTCTCTGTGGTGGTTTTCTGTGGTTTCGGTCCAAAGCGAGGCGTGTGCTCCTTCTGTTACGCACATCTGTTACACACTCCCCTCACACACACACACACACATAAACATAAACACACACACACACTCCTCCTCTGCTCCACACGCTTTAATCTGACCTCCCCCCCCCCCAAAGCTCCATCAATCCTCCACATCCTGACTTTACTCTGACCTCTGACCCTTCCCCCCCTCCCTCCTCCACACAGACTGATTTATCCACACACACCCCCATGCCCTCCCTCCTCACAGCTCCTCCCTCCTCTCCGCCAGGCTTCATCTGACCTGTGCCCCCAGACCCTCCACTCACTCCTATAACACTGTACTGCACCGTCTCATCACCACACTGTCCCCTAAAGACTCTCTCCTAAACTCTGTCCCTTAAACTCTGTCCCCTAAACTCTGTCCCCTAAACCCTGTCTCCTAAACTCTGTCCCCTAAACCCTGTCACCTAAACACTGTCCCCTAAACTCTGTCTCCTAAACTCTGTCTCCTAAACTCTGTCTCCTAAACTCTGTTGCCTAAAGACTCTCCTCTAAAGACTGTTCCCTATAAACTCTGTCCCATAAACACTGTCTCCTAAACTCTGTCCCCTAAACCCTGTCACCTAAACACTGTCCCCTAAACTCTGTCTCCTAAACTCTGTCTCCTAAACTCTGTCTCCTAAACACTGTTGCCTAAAGACTCTGTCCTAAACACTGGCTCCTAAACTCTGTCTCCTAAAGACTGTCACCTAAACTCTGTCCCCTAAACTCATAAACTCTGTCCCCTAAACACTGTCCCTTAACTAGAACAGTTCATATCAGGATTCCCTCTGAGCCTGATCATTATTTCAGTTTGTTATGATCCATGTTCGTGTTTCATACACTCTGAAAGTTCATTCTTCACTGTGATTGGTTAAATTAATCTGTCACTCACTGAGAGCGACATGGAGTCTGACCAATAAGAAGAGTGGGTATTGAAACACACAACCACACACACACTCAACACACCCCCCACACACCCGCACGCACACATACACACACACACGCACACACACACACGAGCCTCCTCTGTCTGCCCTCCCTCCTCACTCTTATTCACCCATGACAACAGTGGACCAAAGGAATGTCCAGCTGCTCAGAGTGAACACACACACACACACACACGTGCACACATACACACTTACACACACACACGCACACTACACACACACACACACACACACACACGTGCACACATACACACACGCAGACACACACACGCACATGCACGCTCACACACACACTTTGTGTAACTCTAGCTCCAGACTGGGGTCACTGAGGTGTCCGCTTCAGGCTCTGTCCTCACAGCTGTCAGGTTTTCCCCGGGCTGTGGGCCGGTTGTCGGGTAGATTCCCTCAGAGTCTGTGGGAGGAGCTGAGCAGCTGCTGCCTGAAGCTCACACCACATGGACCCAGGCCACCAGTCACTAGAACACCTTCTGAAGATACATCACTGAAGAAAATATGCGATAAACGATAATAGTGAAACTAATTTATATCACTGACACAAAAACCCAAGAGCAGATTTAACCACAAAAACTTGTAAATATACAAAACAAAAACATGAGCTGCAATAAATAACCAGCAGAATGAAACCTGTGAGTACAGTTTGCATCTGTAATGAGTCACAGAATCACATCTCATTATAATAACTAAAAATAACCAACAACATCAAACTACTGCAAAGAAAATGTACATGAAAAATGCTGAGACCCAGAAGATACTGTTCCATCTGCCACTGAACGATAAAGTGTTTACTGTGACAGGCTGAACTTACAGGGACCCTCCTCAGGGACCCTCCTGTGGGACCCTCCAGTGGGACCCTCCAGTGGGACCCTCCTCTGGGACCCTCCTGTGGGACCCTCCTCTGGGACCCTCCTGTGGGACCCTCCTGTGGGACCCTCCTCTGGGACCCTCCTGTGGGACACCCCTGTGGGACCCTCCTCGGGGCCTGGGCTTTGTGCTCTCGGTCAGCTTTGGGTCACCATCATCAGTCTCACACAGGAGACAGCACTTTACACCAGATGCCCTGCCACAGAGTCACTCTTTAGATGAAAGATTTCCACACAGGCCCGAGGGAAAATACAACTGCAAGACCTTTAAAATACTTCAGCCCAGAGCTTCTCAAAGTGTGGTACTACAGACTGGTACTACAAACTGGTACTACAGACCAGTTCCACAAATAAACTGCATTGATTGAATTATTACTTTATTATTTCTTTTAGGTGTGAACAGTTGCAGGGGTCTCAACTCAAACTCAAATTACCTGGGGGCCACATTAGATAAAGTCTGAGTGAGGCTGGGCCGCATTGAGTATTCTATAAATAGCGGTTGCACGGAAAAAACTGAGAGAAAGAACAACACGCAACACACTTTCTTAATCTTTAATAACAGTTCAGAACATGAAAATGTATTCAGAACGTAAGTTTAAACTAATACGTCTACTCTTCTTCTTTTGCCTACTTCTTGCTGGTTGAAACCTGGCTACGCTTCATCTTGCACAACTGAGAGATATTTGGCTTGCAGGAGGAAGCATATGAGATCCTCAGGATAGATTGAAGATGCTCATCAGAGAGCCTTGACCTGTTTTGACTTATTGGTGCTTTCACATCGACAGTATTTGGTGCGCACCAAACGGTCCATTCAAAC